TAGAATGTGTATATCAACTTGTCACCAGAGTCAGCAGCTATCATTATCTGGGCACGACATCCACAAGACGGGAAAACTTACCGAAGAGATCAGAAACAGAGTGGACCAAGGTTTACTATGCTGAGTCGGTGTGTGCTTGGAAAAGATTAAGAGCTTCCAAGAGCTCATTGAGCTTATACTTACCTATGGCAATGAATAGAAGGGGCAACTTGTTTGAAGATAGACAGACTCTGCAGCAGCTCAAGAATCTTGCTTGGGAGAGGGTAAAAACTTCAGAAGATGGATAAGGCCATCGCCACAATAGAGAAAAAAAGATGGAGAAAAGAAATATTTATTCCTAAAAGTATAAAAAAAACAAATAGAAACTGTTAAAAAAATATTGCATTCTTTGTTTGATTATGTTGCATTCTTTGCTTCTTCATATTACAAGTTTTCTTTTCCTTTTTTTTGCCTCACTCAAGTAGCTCCTGTGGACCTGTAAAAATAAAATCGTAATTAATTTATTTAAGTAATTAGTTTGATAAAATTAAAAACTCACTGACGTTACTCGAGAATAAATCAGTTAAATACTTGTTATAGTATTCATTAACTCTGCCAAGTTCCTCATCGCTGTAAATATTAATCAGGACACGTCCATAAATAACCTGGTAAAGTGGTTCTTTATCCAATTTATTCCTCAACTGGATGTAAGTAGTTTTTGGTATTGTTAGACGTTGAGGATCCAAACATCCAGATTGTTTCCAAAAGCTATCGTTCTTAGAAGATTTAGAAGACTTTTCTTTCTTCTCTTCGGCAGTTGTTGGACCGAACAAACCCATACCTAGTGGTACTTCATAAGCTTTACTGCCTGAAGCAACGCTATTACTAGGAAATGCATTCATTTCTCTTTCCTTCATTTTTCTTTCCTTTGCTTCTCTCTCCATCATTTTTTTTTCCTTTGCTTCTCTTTTCTTAATTTCTTTCTCCCTCGCTTCTCTTTCTTTTATTTTTTGTTTATTTGAACTTGAAGCTGCTTCATATGCTTTACAAATATTATCAATCACAACTTGTTGATCAGCCATAGTTGTCTTTTCGCTTTTATACCATTTATGATGCTTGCTTTTTATGTTAGTGTGAATGTTTGGGATATGCTTCGATNCCAAAGACATTTTATCTTCTAGAGACGAAATTCAAAGCAACTGATATCACTTTCGGAATTCTCTTTTGCCTTAATAACAATTTTCTGCTGACCACCTGTGAACCGCCGGCAGTAGCCAACATGGATCTATAAAACTCTGACGGTTTTTGATCACCCATTTGAGAATTTGATAGTAAGTCATCAAGACGTCTTTCTTCACTCAAAGAAAGTCTGTCAATCAAAATTAGTTTGAGTGACAAATACAAAATATCCGCCGGGGGACACTGCCCTGCTGTTAACCATATCAGATTCTCGATTTTTGGGTCGCAGTTTATTAATCGGATAAGATATAATATATGTACAAATAGAAAAAAATATAAAAAGGCAGTTCCGATTAAAGAGGGTCATGTCAGGTCGACCAAGTGACCAAGGCCCCTTTATCGCACTGCTTTTATAAGAAGCATACTTACATATAACAAGCATACATATATAAATCTCAATCTCTGTCAGCCCCCAATCCTCCCCCCGGCTATGAAACCATTTCAAAATAAATAAAGAAGAAGAGTGCTCAGTCAACTTGCCGCTCACTTAAATAAGCCCTAACCCTTGCCTTAAAGGAAATCAGAGAAAGACTCTTGAAGGAATCAGGTAGCCAATTGTATAAGTTGGGCATACAATACGTAAAGCTGCGTTTGAAAATTTCTAAGCGGTGGTGAGGTATCGTTACCGTATGTTTATGCCTAATATTAATATTATGGATATCTGTGCGAAATCTAATTTTATCATAAAGGTAAGGCGGATTTTTGTGTAAGATAATTTTGTGGTAGAGACATAAGCAGTGAAAAGTCCTTCGCCGTGTCATGCTTAACCAACCAGCCCATGCCAGCGTATGTGATATGCGCTCCCTTCTACGGATACCATATATAAATCGCAGACAAGAGTTTTGTAACTTTAGAATTTTAGCAGTGTGAACGCTGTCAAGGCAGGAGTGATATATTACGTCACCGTAATTGAAGATGGACAACACCAAGGCATCACACAGATGCGTTCTAAGATTCTGGTTCAAAATGTATCTGTTGTTGTAAAGCAACCTTAATGTAGAGTAAGCTCGCCGTAGAAGGGCCCGAACATGCCCATCAAACCGAAGGCGCTCATCGAAAAATATACCCAAATTTTTTACATTTTCTCCAAAGCTAAGACGAGTTCCACCCATCATCAATTGCAAGTTAGTTTTTACAAACTCGGATGAAGCTCTATCCCCAAAAACCATAACCGATGACTAGAATTAATCCGTAGACAAAGCTTGCCAGCAAGTTCTTCGACCTTAACTAAGTCATGATTAATTTTGCTTTCAGCGTCTTCCATATCACACAGTTTAAAGGAGTAGAGCAGTTGAGTATCATCAGCATAAAAGTATGGCATACAGTGATCCAAAACATTAGCGAACCCAATTGTAGATATCAGATATAACAGAGGACCCAAAATAGAGCCCTGTGGGACACCCGATATAACATCTGCGGTATTGGATGTACCACCATTAAGTTTAACCAACTGCTTTCGTCCAGACAAATAACTTTGTACTAAATGAATCGAACCTAAAGATAAACCTATATAATGGAGCGCAGCCACTAAAGTATCATGATGTATTCTATCAAAAGCCTTAGAAAAATCCAAAAGTGTTAAGATAGTAACCCGTTTGTCGTCAATTGCTTTGAAGATTTCATCCGTCACACCCAGAAGCGCAGTAGCGCTACTAAATCCCGGACGAAAGCCAGACTGGCAACTGGGCAACACATTATAATCATCAAGATGACAGCGAAGTCTGACCGCCATGACCCTCTCACAAACCTTGGATAATATAGGCAATATACTAATTGGCCTTAAGTCCCCCAATTCATGAGGATTTTGGGTTTTTGGAATTGGAGTTACCAGGGCGATCTTCCAAATATCAGGGAACACAGAACATTCAATGGAATAGTTAATTATATGGCACAAGAAGGGCAAAATTGTAGGACAACACATTAAAAGCATTTTAACACTTATGCCATCCATACCAACAGAGTTTGATTTGATACCACATAGAATATTGAAAATTTCAGTTTCATTTGTAAGAGAAAATGTTAGTTTTTCTGTAACTTGTGGAAGTATGTTATTCCAATAAAAGTTAATCAACTCAGCACTTCCCGTTGAATTAGTTTGAGTGCTGAGAAGGAAATTATTAATAGTATCAGCATCAAAACCAGTATCAGTCAATACTTGAGTCTTATTTTTGACAACACCCAATTTCCTAAAACTCATCCAAAGATCACGAGATGATCGCTCCTGAAACAATGTGTTTAAAAACGCCCGTTTTTCTCTCAGAATGGCCGAGTTAGTGTAATTACGTAGTTGTTTATAATACTGGAAGTGATTGGGACACCTGCTCTGGCGGAATCTACTATAAGCCTGATCACGAAATCTCATAAGGAGCTTGATGTTATCAGTCACCCAAGGGCAATAGTTTTTACGGATGGAAACAGTACGCAAGGGCGCATGACGATCAAAAAGATTATGAATTGAATCAACAAAAAAGGCCACCTTATCATTAATGTCCTGAAATTGGAGTATCCGGTACCAGGGTACTGACAGCAAATCCGCAGAAAACATGTCCGAATTAAGGTGTTTGAAATCACGAAATGTAAGTTTCGGGTATACATTTTTTAATGTTCCATGCATCCCGAGATCAACGAACACCAAATTATGATCTGCAATATCATGAATAGGTCATGAACACCACTATTTTCAACAACTGCATCCTCAAAAACTATAACATGATCTATTAATGTAGCGGAACTATGGGTTATTCTTGTCGGGTCGGTTATAATTTGACGAAGATTAAACTGCTCAATCAATGAAATAAATCGCGATGATTGGACACCATCCAGAGTTAGTAAATTAACATTAAAATCTCCAAGACAAACAAAAGAATCCGATTGAACAGCAAACGAAGAAAATAATGGAATAGAATATTCCAACCCCTTCTCCTGTGAAGAAATCACGGAAGCCCTGAATGAAATGGAAATGGGAAAAGCCCATGGCTTTCATAGCATTCATGCTGAAACACAGTGTCAGATTTACCACGTAATGGTTTGCAAAATTCTTCTCGGATATCCTCAGATGGGAAATGTTCTCCATCAACTCAAAAACTAAACTAAAAACAAAGACTAACTATGTGAAAACAAGCTTTTAAAAGCAACTAAAAACATCTACTATACGATACTAATACATAAATTAATGCGAGCTATCCAATGCAGAAACATCACTGATTTTATCAATGCCATGCTATCTAGCAGATGCTTCCAAGTCATCATGAGCGACAAGACTAGTACCTAAATGAAATTGTACGATGACCTTCCACAAGGATCGGTGCTGGCCCCCACATCAAACCACATCAAAAAAGTTGGGATACGCAAAGACTACTGAGCAAATTCTAACAAATGACCTGGCTACTAAAATATACCTTGAAGACAGAATTCTCAACACCCAAAATATCTAGGTGTCAGAACCCGAAATAACATCCAGCAAAAGCTGAGCGGCACCATATGGGGCTCCTCAGCGTCCACACTTAGATTGACAGCATTGGGTCTGGTGTAATAACTTAAATAATGGATTAATGATTTTGAGATTAACCACAATTTTATTGCACTTAAAAATACGTTTATATTAAACTTTTTAATTATAAATGATAATTAAAAAAAATTAATTTAAAATAATTCAAATTTCCCGCAAAAAAAATCGTAAAAAAAGGTCAAATCAAGTTCTGTTGTAACAGTTGGTAGCCTTGCCACTAAACCGTTTTGATCAGCTCCGATTCTAACAGAAATTTCTGCGTAAATCCATTATCATGTCTGATAAAAACAATGAAGAAGTTGCAGGAGCAGCAGAATCCGGTAACGATTCAACTAAAAGAAACATTGAAGAAGTTAGCGAAGTTACCGAAACTTCTCAAGCGAAAAAGATTAAGTTGGACGACAACCCAGCCGAAAATGTCGACGTTGTAGCCCAAACTTTACTCGAAAGTAAGTATTTTGTACTTATTACAAAGAAAAAGGATTAAATTTTAACTTTTTTAGTTGATACTACTTATTTACATTTCACTGATGCGGTGAAAGATATGAAGAATAAGAGGGCGGAATTCAATAAGGAATTCTTGAAGCTTAAGGAGAGGCTTGAAAATGCAAGTAACTTTTTATTAATATTTAACAATGTTATTTAAATTTTTTTGTTGCAGACTGGTGTGTTGAAAGAATACCCAAAACAACGTAATGAAGGTGACAACCCCGAATGAAGATAATTTGCAAAATAATTAGCATTATAAAAAACTCTATTTATTATATTTCATGTTGAGTTAAACTAAATAAATATTTTTCTATTATTCCCTTAAGTGATTTTAAACTGTTTGTAACTCTTTTGAGGTTAGGTTGGCTATCGTTGGAGTGCGCTAGGTTAATTNAACATCTTCGAAATAGAAATCTTTTGAAGTTGATGGTTGTGGTTCTTGTGGTGGTTTTTTGGATTCAAACTTGATGTCACCTTCATTGCCTTTGTTGGAGTTTGCCTTTTTAGGGACGACAACATCTTCGTAATAGAAATCTTTTGCTTTTGAAGTTGATGGTTGTGGTTCTTGTGGTGGTTTTTTGGATTCAAACTTGATGTCACCTTCATTGTCTTTGTTAGAGTTTCTCTTTTTAGGGACGACAACATATTCGAAATTGAAATCTTTTGAAGTTGATGGCTGTGGTTCTTGAGATGGCTTTTTGGATTCAAACTTGATGTCACCTTCATTGTCTTTGTTGGAGTTTCTCTTTTTCGGGGCGACAACATCTTCGAAATAGAAATCTTTTGCTTTTGAAGTTGATGGTTGTGGTTCTTGTGGTGGTTTTCTGGATTCAAACTTGATGTCACCTTCATTGCCATTGTTGAAGTTTCTCTTTTTACGAGGGACGACATCTTCGTAATAGAAATCTTTTGCTTTTGAAGTTGATGGTTTTGGTTCTTGAGGTGGTTTTCTGGATTCAAACTTGATGTCACCTTCATCACCTTTCATGATATTTCGAATAGTTGAAACCCAAAAATCGACATTTCTTTTATTCTCGATTTGATCGCATTTATTCTTGTTCTCAACATTATCGATTTCTAATGGTTGAAGGACATATTTGCTTGCTTTTGTAAATGTTGGTGCTTCTAACTTATCAGTAATTTTTATTTCACGTTTATCTTGTTCTTCTTTTCGATTTGGGTTCGAATATTGTGGTTTTTCAGAGGATGCTGCGTTAGTTGAATGTTTTTTTTTATCTTTCTTTTTATCAACTTCTTCTTTCGGTTTCTGGTTGGGACGATTTGGGTCTTTCTGTGGATTCATTATGGATGCGATTCCAATCCTCTACTAATATTGAACAATGGGTACTAACAACCAGATTGATAATTAAGTTGTTTGAGCTTGCTTATTTTGGATTTTCTTGAGATTAGAACTAGAAAAACAAACAAAAACAATGAATATAAATGATTTAAAAAACCACTAGGAATGTGGAAATGAGTTTGTTAATAATAAAAAGTTTTTTTGGATTAACTAATAAAATATTGAAAATTAAATGATTTTGGAGTTATTAAAATTCATAACACTTTGATAAATCGGTTTGGAATCATGATATTTTCAAGACTTATCATAAAAGGAGTGTAAATTATAATAATATATGTTAAAATATTATCATAGGTGAAATAAAAAAGTTATTTCAAAACATTTTGGAATTATCAGGTTATATAAATTCATAACTCTCGGGCAAATCGGTTTGAAATCATGAAATTTTGAAAACAATTTATTGCCATAATAAGAAACAAAAAATACAAATTAAAGAAAATGTATACATTTAACTTAATGCATAAATACGGGCAAAAGGGTCGATTTATCGCGTAAGCGATATCTTCCAAACAACCCAATCAATCAGCAGTATACTAAGTTATATAAGAAAAACTATGAATAAACGGCAAGCTGCTATGCTAAACTTATGGTCACTAAAAACGGTGCATAATGATAGTTGCTGGAATAAAAGAAGAAGAGAAGAGAAGAAAAGTNGAGGGACTCTTGGATTTAGGTATAGGGACAACATGAGCAACTTTCCAGATTGAAGGGAATGAGGATCGTTCAATGGAGAAGTTAAAAATGTGGGTAATAGGAGTAAGAACAATATCCAATATAGGAAGAAGAAGTTTGAGACCAACTCCATCAGCTCCCACACTCGTAGACCTCGAGTGATTCAAGGCATCGCGGACTTCTGACGCAGTAACCAGGACAAAGGAGAAAGAGGAGGATTTAGATGAGGCAAGAATTTCAGAAATAGTTGTCATCCTAGTCCCACCACTAATGAGCAGAGGAGGGTCAGCAAAAAACCTCGCCAATGAATCCACATCACAAGCAGCCCGAACAGAGGGAGACTCAACCGCCCCTAAGGAACGCATCAACTTCCAAAACGTCCTCGGATTAGCATTGGATAGTCTCCGGTAGATATACATTTTTTTGGCATTTCTACATTGGTGATTGCAACGGTTACGCAAGATCCTATAGTTTTCACGATTAATATTTGGAATACGTTTAAGTAATAGCTTTGAAAAGAGTGTTGATTTTGATAAGTGGTACTAAATTATTAACAAAATTATAATAAAAATGATTTTTTGGTAAATAATTAATAAAACATCGAAAATTGAATGCTTTTGGAGTTATTAAAATTCATAACTCTTTGATAAATCGGTTTGGAGCATTGAGGTCTTATATATATAATATAGAGTGCGTATGTGGTGGGGGTAATCAGAAAGTCAGACATGTTGGATGTACCGACCTGAACTTAGCTATAGTTTCAAGTCTCTATTGTACCTCCAATTATAACCTCACAATTCTCATAAATACACTCAGTCAATTTTAATATCTTATATTTTTTAAACCAGTGGGACCAATTTTTATTATTTTTTTATTTTTTGGTAGCCAATTCCTTTGTCTTAAAAAAAAATTAAAAAGGTGGAAATTTTTTCAATGACTCCTGGATGGTTGTGGAAAAACTGGAACCTAATTTTTGACTCACCCTGTGTATTAATCAAGTAATGGTATAAAAAGTGTTTACACCCTATATCAAAGACGTTTCTTTTATGAGCATTTTGTTTTTTTATTCATTAATTTATCTCTAAAATTGTCCGAATTGAAGCTTTTTTGTTGAAACCAACTTTCTGAATTTATGGAAAAACAGTTTTCTAGTGAAATAAACTGATAAGAATTTTTAAAAAAGTTTTATTAAACACTAAATTATAAACTGGGATTACTGCTTAATACCGTGTATTGCCTCCCCTAGCAACTCTAAGAGTTTCTAATCTAAGCGGCATACTGGAAATCAGGTTTCTTATTATGGTATACGATCCCATTCTTCCACTAACGCAGCTGCTATTTCTGCGAGGCATTCCTGAGGCCTCTCGCGAGAACGTACCCTTCTCCCTAATTCATCCCACAAATGTTCGATAGGGTTCATATCGGGGCTTCTCGCAGGCCACTGTAATGTGGTGATACCAGTAGCTTCTAAGAAGTTTCGCACTATTACTGCGGTGTGTGGTCATCAATATAAAATTATTGCCCACTAACTCTGCATGAGGTAAGATGTACTGTTGTATAATGTCAATGTAAATTTGAGCAGTCATCGACCGCCTCACCGAAAAAACATGAAGGGGTGTCTTTCCATTCATTGACATCCCTCCCCACACCATAACCGACCCACCATTAAAACTTTCGCGTTCTGTTATTAAATTCTGATTAAACCTTTCACCAGTCCTTCTCCACACTCTTTTTCTTCCATCCACCATGTTAANCTGTAAGAGTACCAAAATCCGCAAAATAAGTTTCAAAATTGAAAATGCCGAAAAGAAATCCGAAGAGTTTAAAAAAAACCGAATTAAAATTTTTTTTAACCGAACAACGAGGGGTGTGTAACAAAGTTATATTTTTTTTAGCTCCGAAAAATTAACAATATCCGAATATACTTCCCACATTCCCCGGTCTTCTACAGTTTCCGTCAAGCAATAAATCGTCCGTTCGAACGTACGTCGATGGATATCGTTGGACCTTTAGTCACCACAGATAACGGAAATCGATATATTTTGACTTTCCACGATCATTTTACGAAGTACAGCGAAGCCATTCCTTTGTCAGATCAGAAGGCTGAATGTATGTCGACATGGGACACCTAAACAATTATTAACGGATCAAGGTAGTAATTTTATGTCAAGTTGAATGAAGGATTTTTAACAACCTACATGTTGTTTGTTAAAAATTGAAAAAATTGAGGGATAAAAAGGGATAGGGACATTGAGATCTTATATACAATCTAGAGTGCGTATGTGGTGGTGGTGGGGGTAATCAGAAAGTCAGACATGTTGGATGTACCGACCTGAACTTAGCTATAGTTTCAAGTCTCTATTGTACCTGCAATTATAACCTCACAATTCTCATAAATACATTGTTATTTTTATTAAAATTTTATTTTTGTTGAAGGTTTTCGAATTCTTTTTGTTTCACATATGTTTTTTATAATTTGGTAAGTTAGAAGATTATTTACAACAGTCCATAAAATGTTTCTGGTTAGTTGACTTGAAATTAACAATGAAGTTCAAGTAAAGTTTATTATTAAGGAATGTTCAGTTCTTTTAAAATAAACTAACAATAATTTATAAGCAAAAGGTTAACGTGATCAATCAGAATTGTTTTAAATATTTTCTTCTTAGTTTATGTTAAGTATAAGGGTTATTGTTAAAAATGATTAAGTTCTTTTAAAATATCATATAATTAATAATTATTTATTAATAAAAAATTAATGTATTTTGTTTTGGCTATTATTTTCTGTCTTTCCAGTTTATAATAATGTAAATTCTTGCATAACTATATATAAGAATTTCGAAGTTCCTGCTAAGTTGGTACATCTAACATGGCGACCTTCCTGGCTTCATTTTAGGCGTGGTGAGGACAACAGATTATATATGAGTCACGAAATTTTCAAGACTTATCATAAAAAGAGTGCAAATTATGATAAAATACACCAAATTATTAACAAAATTGAAATAAAAAAGTTTTTGGTAATTAATTAATAATAATATTTTAAATAAAAAATATATTTTAAAAAAACCACAAATCATTGTCTACTATTCATTATAAAGATATAGAAAAGGTTGGCAACCGATAGTCGCATTTCGCGACAATTAATCACCCCATTCCATCGTAACGAGGAAAAATTAGTAAATTAAAGCCGAGATCGTCTTATAATCCCTACTATTTTTTGATTATCAATAAAAATCTTTATTAACAATAACTAATTCAACGCGAATTTATTAACAAGTTGATAATAAGTTGTTATTAGTCATGCGTAAAGGAAGTTTAAGCCCATAGGTTCCCAATTTGGAAGGCTGTGATTGAGAGGTTGTCACAAAACCCCACCTCAAATTGAGGCCATTTTTGAGATCTTAGGAACAATCAACTTTCTTTAAAATGTACGACTCATTATTGGTTTGCACAAATGGGGCTTTTATCTATTCTAAACGTGATCAACTTATTTTTTACGATTTTCTAAAAATAATTAATTCTAAAAATAAATTATTTTTTAAGAAATTATTTTTTCTAATGATATTAAAGACAAAGATCTAATTCTTCAAATTAAATTAATCAATTTTTAACTTACCACGTTTCTAGAAGCCCTTGGAAAGTTTTAGCAACACCATGTGGTTGTTCTCGGATTCCGGGAATCACTGTACTTTGCGTAGGATGATTCTTTTTTATTATTTTATTTTATTTAAACAATTCGAAGGAGAATATGTTGGATGATTTAGACGATTAATCAAGATTAATATCGTGAATAACCATGGATAGGTGTGCAGCCACTAAAGAAGAGTGAATTCGCTAAAACGATGTTCTTCGTAGAAGTGCTGATTTCACACTGGTAAGTTTATGTCATTGTCATTGCTTATGCTCTTTCATCCATCTTGAAGTACGTTTATAAAAATCTTTTTGCGATTAACAATTCAAAGATCTAATTAACCAAGACAAATAATTTAGCATTTGTATTATTTATTTCTTTTAATTATTTATTATATTCATCTTATTTATTAACTTTCAAACGCCATCTACTATCATAACAATAAATTAGTTCTTTTAGTATGTTATGTCAAACTTCCAACAAATTTTAAATTTCCCGCTAAATTAAGTTTTGTTAAGAACTTGTATTAAATTGTACGTGTTAATCACTTTGCTTAAATACTATTATTTACAACTCCATCTTGTGGAGTAATAAGTGAGTTATTTAAAGCAACCAATGAAAACCTAGCGGCCATATCGTTCATTTACACGTTGTTCATGTTTTTGTTGGATGTTAAAGGTTTTATGCGATTATAATGGCGAGAAAGCTGCTTTTGCGGGGCAACCCTTCAGCGGGCAATCAGGTTAATCATAACAATTCTTCGACTATCCCACCAGTAATTAACTTAAACCCATTTCAAAAGCAACAGCTCTTAAATTCTCTTCATCCAAACCTAGATGGTAAGATTACTAATTATTAATCAATGAATAATAGATAATGAAGTTATTTTTATGTAGAAATAGACGAACAACTTTATGAATATTACCAATCTCCGAATTTTGGAGATTTCTTAATGAATCCAGATGATTTTAACTTTAATCTAGATGAACAACAAGGTTATGATCAACTCCATTCCAATTCACATGGTAAGAAGATATAGGAAATAATTAATTTTTTTTAAATTTTTTAGATGTTGCAATGTATGCAGAAGCACAATTGGACGACAATGAAATGGAGTTAGATGATATTCCAACCAGCTCCATAATAAATAATCTTGATGGATACAATGTAAGTGAGTACCAAGAAGAAGTGCTGAACTCAAGCTCAATTTACTCTAATGCAGATGGTAAGAAAAATTTAAAAATTAATTTCTCAAAAACTAAAAGTGATTTTTAAAAACGGTTTAATTTACTGGGAAGTAGACATTCTAGTTGAAAAAGTATGAAAAAATTTTTCTATGAAATGAACTTCATATCGAATTTTTAAGTTAGTTGTTAATTTCAATAATTTGATAATAACTTACAACTTTTTTTTCAAAGACTAAAAATGATATTTAAAAACTGTTTGGTTTATTCAAAATACACATTATCATTGATAATTTATATAATTTGAATTAGTTTCTAAATGAAAGCGATTTTATACAGATTTTTAAAGAAAAAGTAACCTCCAAAATTGATAAAAAATGTATTTCTAAAAAACGAAAAATGTTTTTTAAAAACGGTTTGATTTACTAGAAAGAAAGAGTTTTTATTGTTAACTAAGAGCTTACAATTTTCTGTTTAATACATGGCGAACCAAACTTAATTTAACTTCCATTATCACCTGTCCACATCGTCCGACCAGTACCTGTTTGCTCTCTCCTCATTACCACAACGAAATCTGGCCACCAGCCTCTTCGATTCCTCGCTCCTCTCCTCCACAAAGTATTTTGGAAGCCCCTCCGACATTATGTCCCTATATCTTTCATTGTACTTTCCCTCCCTTACCTGCCTCCTTCTCTATTCTCTCTGGACGTCCCTATCTCTGTCGCTTACCTTCTTTAGTAATTTATCTATGCCTCCGAATAACCCGCCCTTTTATAATATTTCCTCCTCTCTCCTTTACTATATCGAATCTTCCCCTCCCTAACTTCCTTCCAACACTCCCCTAAGATCCCGCAGTATTGTCTTCTATCAATCATTTCTTCATATTTAGCAGCTCTTCTGCTTCAATTCATCCACCTTCACTTCCTCCCTCACAATGTACCCCGGTGTTTCCCTAGCCAGACCAAGAAGTACCGATTCTGTACGTCCTCCAGAATATCTTGCTTCTTCCATCCCCAAACTTCCGCCCCTACATCATTGCACTCCTCACCAACCTATCAAACATAATCTTTCTCTTTTTGATGTCCCAAACACTCTCTCACCTCATACCCAGACCTTATTAACCCTTTTTACCATCTCCCTCACATGCGCCGACTCCTTGCTATCTTCCCTGAATCTATACCCCAGGTATGTGAATTCCTTCTCTCTTCTTTTTGGACATACCCAATCCTGTTGCTTACCTTCTTTAGTAATTTATCTATGCCTCCGAATAATAATAATAATAAATGTCTTTATTGCACATACCATTCAATACAACAAAAGAAAAAGAAAATATATATATACAGGGTGATTCATTAGCTCTATGACAAACTTTGGCAGATGAAAGGTGATACGATTCTAAGGAAAAAATGTTGTATGAATATGGGTCCTATTCATTTTGGTTAAAGAGTTACAAGCCTTTGAAAATTTTACACAGTTTAATAGGCAAATGAAAATGTAACATAAAAAATAAGNTCTGGCCACCAGCCTCTTCCCTTCCTCGCTCCTCTCCTCCACAAAGTATTTTGGAAGCCCCTCCGACATTATGTCCCTATATCTTTCATTGTACTCTCCCTCCCTTACCTGCCTCCTTCTCTCTTCTCCCTGGATGTTCCCATCCCTGTCGCTTAACTTCTTTAGTAATTTATCTATGCCTCCGAATATCCCGCCCTTTTATAATATTTCCTCCTCTCTCCTTTACTATATCGAATCTTCCCCTCCCTAACTTATTTCCAACACTCCCCTAAGATCCCGCAGTATTGTCTTCTATCAATCATTTCTTCATATTTAACAGCTCTTTTTCCTCAATTCATCCACTTTCACTTGCTCCCTCACAATGTATCCCCGTGTTTCCCTAACCAGACCAAGAATCCACCTCCAGTACCGATTCTGTACGTGCTCCAGAATATCTTGCTTCTTCCATCCCCAAACATCCGCCCCTACATCATTGCACTCCTCACCAACCTATCAAACATAATCTTTCTCTATTTGATGTCCCAAACACTCTCTCACCTCACCCCCAAACCTTATTAACCCTTTTTACCATCTCGCTCACATAAGCCGTCTCCTTGCTATCTTCCAGAATCTATACCCCAGGTATGTGAATTCCTTCTCTCTTCTCTTTGGACATCCCCAACCCTGTCGCTTACCTTCTTTAGTAATTTATCATATTATATATACATACCATTCAATACAACAAAAGAAAAAGAAAATATATATACAGGGTGCCCATTATGTATGGAATATAGTATATATCTTGGTAGGTATCAACTTTATAAAAAAACATTTTATACAAAAGTTGTTTAATATTTTATTTGCCATAATAAGACAGCATTCAATTGTTTTTAATTCAGAAAACAAATGNTTGAACATTTTGGCGATGAAACGGATGTAACATTTCTCGATTCAATACACGCCATACAAAACTTTGGGATATTTGTAACATGCTCGCTATACGCCGAGTACTAATTGAAGGGTCGTCAAGTACTAAATCAATAACACGTTCTTCATTTTGTACATTCACATCATGGGGACGAACGGAATGTAGTGGAGCGGGGTTACCTGTTTCTCTCAGTCTGCGAAATGATGCACTAAACACTGTATGGGCAGGTTGATGTCTATTTGGAAACCTACGAAGGTATTCTCTTGCTGCTTGCCGAGCGTTTCCGTTACAAAGCCCGTATACAAAAATAATATCTGCATATTCTTCAGTCGTAAATCCATGCATTTTCGTTTTCGATCAAAACTCTGACAATTGTAAACTTTGAAACACACAGAATAGAGTAAATTGAAATGTTTGACATAAAAAACTCAGTTTTGTTATCACAGCCAACTCTGTATTTGTGTTTCATAATTATTGTTGCGATTGTTGCAAATCTTTACTTCGTCGATGTGAGGCGTGCATTCAAGCTGAAGGCGGATATTTTGAACAATTTTTGTAACTTATTTTATATGTTACATTTTCATTTGCCTATTAAACTGTGTAAAATTTTCAAAGGCTTGTAACTCTTTAACCAAAATGAATCGGACCCATATTCATATAACATTTTTTCCGTAGAATCGCATCACCTTTCATCTGCCAAAGTTTGTCATAGAGCTAATGAATCACCCTGTATAAATAACAAAAATTGTGTCTATAGTGTAGATATATAGTCTAAACTAGAATGTTTAAACAACAAGAGATCAAAAAACTTAGTACCTAACACTACAAAAAAAGAAAAGAAAAAAAATGGCATTGTGCAATAGGCGGGCTCCAGATAAAATCTGTTCAACCAACCTTACCACATACAGAAACTTAATATTTTTGCTTGCACTAAAACATACCATACCATTTGACATTATCGATACTAGTCATCTTCGTGCAACAGTACCTATGATAGATTTAGTAATCTGTAGGTGTCTTATTAATAACAAGTCTATTTTAATCACTAGTCTACATTCCTCCCGATATATCTTCTGATTATATGGAGACATTTACTACTGCTCTTGAGGCTATTATAATTAACCATTTCTTTGTATTGGTTCTTTGTATTAGTCAATATTCAATTAAAACCAGGGCTTTTATTGATTTTTTAAGTGTTCTTAATGCCATAATGGTGGGAATCCATGTTGCAAGTCATTTCAATAAAATAAAAGGTTTACTTCACTCTTGCTTGTAGTATTTTATTTCAAAACTAGTTTTGAGAGACGACATTACAAGAACCTTAATTACACCTATGAAATGCTTGCTAGAACTCAGAGACAACTTAAGACGAGTTTACATTACTTGGAGATGGAGGAGCTCATCGTTTATTTTCGAGAAATATCCGGGGCAGCGAAGAGAGACGACATGAAGAAAAAACGTAAAAAGTTGGATGGACTTAGAGGAAAGGTGTTATTATCAAGAAACATCCTGAACGCAACGTTTTAAAAAATGAACTTATAGCTTACCTAAAGAGGAAGGAAAAGGTTTTTAACAAATCCTATAAAAGTC